AGAAAAGCTTTCTGCCCAAAACGGTTACACTATCACTCCTCTTTCTGTCCTGGCTTATCTATCTACTCTTTACACTCTTATCCCACTGCTGCCCTATCACAACTTCTCACTTGTTTACATTCCAATCGTCAAAATGTGCCCTTTTGTGGCAAACTTAGTGTGGCTTCATCACACCCCTTTCCAAGACGAGCATAACATTAGCATCTATAGATATACTAGATAAATTAATGACTTTATTTTGGCTGGAAAAATAGTACTAAATTTAACTACTTCCTTATTGTTTCGACTATTCCTTGGGCTGATGTTGATGCCTAAATTCCTTAATTTCTTATCATGTCGGGATCTATGGATCTTATCCATCATATCCGCCATTTTTTGCAATTTGATAAAATCTTCTTAAGAAAATAGCTGAGAAAGGGATAGTCTAGTCCTTGTTTTGGTTCTAATCAGATCATGTAATTTGTCTATACTTTCTTTCCGTCTAGTCCTAACCAAACCACCTGATACATGCTCCAGTTTCCTATTAGTGAAAATACGTAAATCTGGACGTCTACCAAGAATACATCTAGGAACTGTATTATGTGAAATACAAATTTTTCAAAATCTTATAGTATTAACTTTCCAGGATATAGATTTCTTGATTTTCGTGTAGCCAGAAGAAAGTTGGTAAGAATTCATACCATACGTACGTAATATATGCGAAGAAAGGTTGCGTTTCGAGGAATCTCTTGTTTCATAATTGTTGAGCTTACTTCCATTCCGAGTGAAAATGTTGGGTAAAGAGATTCGAAGGTCGGTTCCACCAGAAGACGACGGCAGATTCCTCTTGATCAGCTGTCGATTGGCTTTACTGGAAGATTCATGCTGACGCTGTTTCCCAACTTTTCGTCGCATATATAACAAAATTTTCTTTAGGCTGGGCCTCTTAGCAATCAATATTGAGATAAAATCTAAGCAATGGTTGAACGTGGATTCGTATATTGGGATTAGCAACCAGGGAAAGGGGAGAATTGACTACGTATAAAGTGGTAATTGTAGGATGAACACTTGACTGAGTACCTCAGTGGTAATTTGGAATATTTTAAATTGTTCTTTCTATTTTGATCAGTATACAATTTTCTTCTAAATTCAAAGAGCTAAGATGAGGAATATAAAATCAATTTAAAGGGTTAAACGCTCGATTCGTTCTTTTTTCATTTTATTTATGAGCGTAACAAGTATGGTAATACTTGATTGAGAAATTGTATGCAGTCGAGTAAACGACAACTACAAATAATTAGCTTCTAAATAAAATGATAAGAGCGCATATAAAAATAAATTGACTCAAAAATATTAAGTAAATAAACAACTCTGATCTCCCAGAATGGTTCATTTAAAAACTAGCTGGAATTTGAAGGCAAAAATATTAATTAAAATTTAAAGTTCATTCAAAGTATCTCTGAAAAGCTACGTGTTAGAAGATTTTATGTAGGGGCTTAAATATTAGTGTGGTTATTTTGGAAATATCTTTGCTATTTGAAACGACGATGAAAAATAGTCTAGGATCTCAAAATCTATTTAAATATTAAATGTTAGAGTAAAAAAATAAATGAAACCTACTTGTGGCCACCAGCCAACAGGGAAGAAGCTGGCTGCCATAGCGGCGGAGAAAGCAGATGAAGAAGAAGCAGATGCCTGTGCTGAGGAAGAGGAATCCAGACCCGAACGGCTAGGATGAAGACCAGCTGGACTAACTTGCTGCTGATAGACTTGGGCAGACGAGAGCGGGTGCTGTTGCTGATATTGTTGTTGCTGCTGCTGACTATGCTGAGTAACTTGTTGTTGCTGTTGCTGCAGGAGCTGCTGGTATTGTTGATACTGCTGCTGGTACTGCTGCTGCTGTAATTGATGTTGCTGTGGGTCATGGCCTGGCTGATGAGAGGACACTTGACGTCGATTTGCTGACTGGCAGTTTTGAAGTCCAGATCCAGTCGATGCGACAGAAGAGGAACCAGCGGAGCTTGCAGACATAGCAAATGCATATGAGGCACGCGAATCGCCTGGTCGACTGTTAGTACTGAGATATCCAGATGTGGGTCGGGCAGAGCTCTGAATAAATGCGTCAAATGAAATTGCGCGTGCAGGGGGAGGAATGAAGAAATGGATATAAGAAAGCAGCCCATACTTTCTAAATCATTGTAACTTCCCCAAAAACTTGGCTGACATCTTTCTAAATGGAAGTACCAATTTGAATTAGAAAGTTCTGTGTACGGAATTTAAAGCTAGTGGAGAAGGTGATTAAGCCTCAATAAGCCTATTTTAAGAAAATAATAACGGG